TTGGAGTTCTGAGAGAATTTATAATCTCCTTTGTGACTTCTGTCTAGGTTTTGTCAATTACTTCCTCCTTTGACTTTTCCAGAAAATGGTTGGAAATGTCTTACTTAAGTGCCTGTTTTTATCTTCTTCTTTTTTTTTTTTTGTTTTGATCTACTGTCATTCTAGAGGGATTGAGAAGAAATAAAATGGCCATTCTTAATTAATATGCACTATGAATGTCTTAAGTGAGCAAGAATTTAGAATACAGTATTTAAATGAGCCGGGCAACCATGGCTCATACCTGTAATCCAGATCTGAGTATCCTGATTTGAAGCTAGTGTTTCAAAGCCAGCCCCGGCAGAAAAGTTCCTTTGAGACTCTTAAATTATCTGCAGTTAACAACGCAAAACCAAGAAGTAGTGCTGGGGCTCAAAGTGGTAGAGTGCTAGCCTTGACAAAAGAGCTCAGGGACAGCCCAGGCCCTGAGTTCAAGCCCCATAACCAGAAGAAATAAAATAAAAGAATTCAGCCTGGAATGAAACTTTTTTTGGGGGGCGGGGGGCAGGGTGCTGGTCTTGAGAGACTTGAACTCAGTGCCTGAGCACTATCCCTGAACTTTTGGCTCAAGGCCTCCACTTCTGCTTTTTTGGGTGGTTATTTGGAGATGAGAATCTCATGGACTTTTCTACCCAGGCTGGCTTTGAACCACAATCCTTGTATCTGAATCTCTTGAAGGGTTAAAGATATGAGGATTAAAAGTATGAGACACTGTTGCCTAGCTGGAATGCAGCTTTTAAAGAACTTTTGATATTTTAAAGATAGTACTGTCATTCTTCTTATTCTAGGTTGTTGGAATCCAAGCATATATATGGAGATAGATAGATAGATAGATAGATAGATAGATAGATAGATAGATATTTAATCCAAGCATGCATACACACACACACACACACACACACACACACACACACATACGTACACTTTATGACCTTAAGCATGTTATATAGTATTTCTTTTTTTTAATCCTTTGTGGTGCTGAGGATAGAATTCAAGTCCTCACACATGCTGGGCCAGCACTCTATTATTATATGCCTAGCCCTCAATCTTATAAATTTTACATATGGTAGAGCAATATTCAACAAGCTATACATACTTCACAACTGACTATACACACTTGTGTAAAATAATACCCATACATGCAGTACACTCCGGTTTGTTTAACTAGTTGTGATCCATTAGTAGGATCTTAAAGTATAAGTCATATACAGCTTCAAGTTGTATCCTTTCCCTAATTATGGGTGGAACAGATATTAAAACTTAAGCATATAGGAGCCCTAACAGGGACTTGGGGAGTTTTAAAAGATGTGTTTATAATCCTTCAAAGATGAAGTCCCTCATTTCCCCAGAGTTGTCTAGCTTCTCCTTTATTAGACACTATGTAGGGATTTTTTTTTATGGTGGCACAGCCTCTTCAGTGAGATCAAATTGTAGGCATATATAAAATGGTAAGTAGCTAAATATATTTAAAAACATCTTCCAGCCAAGTTTAAATTAATTATGTATTTTATAAAAGCTAAGAACATCTGTTTTTCTTTTGAGATGATTCCTTGATTATACCTCTCATGCAGCTTCCTCATTGAGATTTTGTAGAAGAGTGCTTTTAATAAGTCATCAGCTCTAATGTTGTTATTGAAGAAATGAATTGATATTGCAGGTCATTATGGAATAGTCTTAAGGTTGTGATCAGGTTTCCCAAAGCAACATAAAAATAAGAAATTTAAAATTGTTGAATGTGATACATTCATAGTAGTTAGTGATTTCAATTGATCTTTTGGTAATTAGTGAGATCAAAATATACTCTCAAGTTTATGTGTAGGAGTAAGGTTTTTTTTTCCTTGAGTTAAATGAAATTCACTGTATCTTAAATATTCATTCATTTCACATGTACATTAGTCACTTAAATATTTTAGGCAAAATTAATGTCCATTAAAAATAGGGGCTGGGAAGGTGGCTCAGTGGTAGAGTGCTTGCCTTGCATGCATGAGTCCCTGGGTTCAATTCCTCAGCACCCATAAGCAAAAAAAAGCCAAAAGTAGTGCTGTGGCTCAAGTGGTAGAGCGCTAGCCTTGAGCTGAAGAGCTGAGGGACAAGCGCCTAGGCCCAGAGTTCAGGCCCCATGACCAACTGGAAAAAAAAAAATAGATGCCCATCAGTTAAGTAAACCTGCAACTTATGATTGGGTTATATCCCAACAAACTCATCTTAAGTCAAAAATACCAGTAAATAAAAAATACATTTAATATATCTAATCTAATGCAAACATAATTGGTTAGCAACACAAACAAACACTATAGGGAATTGGTAGTTCACTGACTAGGAACTTTGACTTTCTGCTACTGTTGCCCAGCCTTGTGAGAGAGTATGTGCCATGAACTTCTAGGCCAAGAAAAGATCAACATTCAAAGTAGTTTCTCCTGAATGCATACTATTCTCTCACTGCTTTAGTATTGTATGCAGTACTCAGGGAATATTGTTAAACAGTTACTTTGTCAACATCCACAACTCAAGTTGCTGTACAATATATGGAATTTTTCCTGTGAACTTGTATATCTCCAAAGATGTTTTTATTTTCAAACTTTTAAATAAAATTCTAGTGGCTGAGACAGTTAATATTGCAGGGAGACTTTCAGGTGAAAAAGCTGTGAGCATATGAATAAAAACATTGAGGATGTCAAGTAGAATATCCATGTAGTGAAAATAGTCACTTAAAAATATGTGGTTTTAGTGCAAGACATTGGCCAGGCAGGAACTTTTTTGAATATATCAGTCTTCAGTGCATTCATTCTTAGAATGGAAAAGCTGATGAATAAAGTGATAAGTACTCCTTATACTTCAAAACCAGATTTTTTTAGGTGTTCTTTTTCTCTCAAGTAGTTACTCATGTATATAAAATATAACCAAAGTGGATAGACTGTTACTGTTTTATTAACGCTGTATATAAAATATAACCAAAGTGGATAGACTGTTACTGTTTTATTAACGCTGGTCCGGGGCTTGAACAAAGGGCTTGGGCACTATTTATGAGCTTTTTTGTTCAACACTAGTGCTCTACCACTTGAGACACAGTTCCACTTTCAGCTTTTTGTTGTTAATTGGAGATGAGTTTCTTGGACTTTTCTGCCCAGGCTGGCTTTGTACCGCAATCTTCAGCCTTCTGAGTAGCTAGGATTATGGGTATGAGCGTTGGTACCTAGTTTAGACTAATACTTTCTCCAATCACTTAAGAATATTTTCTGCCTTTTCTCTTTTGGGGAGGAGGGGGTGGGACAAGTCCCTCAGCTCTTCAGCTCAAGGCTAGCTCTCTATCACTTGAGCCACAGCGCCACTTCCAGCTTTTTTCTTTTTGCTTATGTGGTGCTGAGGAATCGAACCCAGGGCCTCAGGCATACAAGGCAAGCGCTCTACCACTGAGCCACCTTCCCAGCCCATGCCTTTTCTCTTATGAGAAAATAAACACCTATAAGCACAAAATATTCCATATTTTTAAGGACAAAATCTTTTTTTCCTTCTAGGATAACTACAAATGTTTTTGACCTTTATAAAAATGTTTCATGTCTTAAATCTATAAGTAGGCCAGTCAGTAAGTAGAAAATGATGTAGCTTCCTCTCTTCTCACTCATTTAACCTTTTGCAATCTGGTCCACAATTCACATCTGCTACACCTGAGCTCCTAAGAAACTTAGTACAAAGAATGTTCTTCGATGAAGCAGTCACGTATCTTGCAATAGCTGTATATGTATATGTGTATATACACATACATATACACACATTCATACACAGTAGATGGCAGTATCTTTTATATTTTCATAACATCTTTTATGCTTTATATCTTCTTTTTTTTTTTTTTTTTTTGCCGGTCGAGGGGCTTGAGCTCTGGGCCTGGGCGCTGTCCTTCAGCTCTTCAGCTCAAGGCGAGTGCTCTACCACTTGAGACACGGCACAACTTCTGGTTTTCTAGTGGTTTATTGGAGATAAGAGTCGCAGGGACTTTTCTGCCCAGGCTGGCTTTGAACCATGATCCTCAGATCTCAGCCTCCAGTGTAGCTAGGATTACAGGCTTGAGCCCCTAGCCCCTGGCCCCTGGCTATGTTTTCTTTCTTACTTGAAAGTAGGAAATCATCTCTAACAATAAATACTACAATAGAGATGTGTGCTTAAAAATCCCTTAAGGCAAAAATGGATTAGCCACTGGTATTATCTTTAGTGTCCTAGGAAAACTGAAAGGGACTTGTACTGAAACAAAACAAAACAAACTCAGATAAAGCTTCCAGGAATGTGGGAAGATGGGCATTCTAGGCCGAGGGTACCATAGGGAGGGTGTAGTTCCCCAGAATGCTAAGAGGCAAGCCACAAAGTGTGTTAGTAGACTTCTACACTTGTATACAGAAGGGCTTGCGCTTCATCCTCTTTAATTATTGAGGATGATCTACAAATACATGTTAAGTATGATCATATTGATTTAAACTTTAACAGGATTTTAGCTTTTTAAGTAATGTGGAAGATAAGTCAGTAGTGGTAGTGGTTATGCGACTTAGGAGGAGCCATGAGGATGTCATTGCTCTAGTTGTTGAACAGTGTTACCCCCTCCCCTCATCTTCTCCCACTTTCCCCTTCCTGAATCCCCTCTTTTCCAAGTTGTAAAGTTCATTTCCAACATAGTATCTTGCCATATTTTTTAAAGCATTTTTCCCCCTTTTTGTGCCAGTTCTAGTCTAATTTCAGCGAGGGGCTGAAATCATGGTGGAAATGTCAAGGAAGGAACGAGAAATCAATAATAAAAAATTACGTGAGCAATGAGAAGAATCCAATAAAAAATTCTTAGATGACAGAATTTGATGGGTGAATTTATCATAGGTGATTGAGAGATTTATGTATGTGAGTGTCTTTTGCAAAATCAACAGATGTATAAAGGTAAACTTTGTATTGGCTATTTGTAAGTTTTTCACTGTTTTTATTTACAGATGCTACTTCAAATGAACAACAAGAGCTTTTTTGTCAGAAGTTGCAGCAGTGTTGTATACTGTTTGATTTCATGGACTCTGTTTCAGACTTGAAGAGCAAAGAAATTAAAAGAGCAACACTGAATGAACTGGTTGAGTATGTTTCAACTAATCGTGGTGTAATTGTTGAATCAGCGTATTCTGATATAGTAAAAATGGTAAGCCTCTGGACACGTAGTTCTCAGATTTATATAAATTTAAAGTAAGATCTGAGTTGTAATTGTGAGTTGACACTGATCTAAAATAAATGTACAGTAATTAACATACTCAAAAAAGAGTCCTCCATTTCACTGATGCTATTGTTTCTTATAGGACATTCAGTAGCCACAGTGGTAGGTGGCTACCAAATTTTTTAATTTACTAACATTTTTTAAAACTTGATTTAATTGTATTATAAAGGTTATATACAGAGGGGTTACAGTTACATAAGTAATGAGGAAATGGTTGTTGAACAGTGTTACTCCCTCCCCTCATTTTCTCCCACTTTCCCTTTCCTGACTCCCCTCTTCTCCAAGTTGTAAAGTTCATTTCCAACATAGTGTCTTGCCATATTTCTTTTTTTTTTTTTGGTCCGGTCATGGGGCCTGAACTCTGGGTCTGAGTGCTGTCCCTCAGCTCAAGGCTAGCGCTCTACCACTTGAGCCACAATGCCACTTCTGGCTTTTTCCTTTTTGCTTATGTGGTGCTGAGGAATTGAACCCAGGGCCTCAGGCATGCAAGGCAAGCACTCTACTACTGAGCCACCTTCCCAGCCCTTGCCATATTTTTTAAAGCAGTTTTTTTTCCCTTTTTGTGCCAGTCCTAGGACTTGAACTTAGGGCCTGGGTGCTGTCCCCGAGCTTTATTGCTCAAGGTTAGCGCTCTACCACTTGAGCCACTCCTCCACTTACTTGAATGACCACCATATGGGATAGTGCGTATCTTAAACTTAGATGTTGAGAAATATATAGGCTCAATATTATTCAGATTGACAGATGTAAGGGTGAGTAGTCACTAAGAGAAAATGTGTAAAGGAGGAAGAAAAGACTAGTGAAAAGCTAGGAAATCGGGTTTGAAAGGAATCCTATACTTTGAAACTTGTTACATACAGATAACTTTGTTGGTGCCTATAAAGTTAACTTTTATTGATAACAATTATGAGATATTTTTCCCTTTTCAAATTCTACTTACAGCCTTCTGCTTCTCTTTGAGAAGTTGATGTCCAAACCACTGATCAATTTTACCCTTAACACTGGCTTTTGAGTTCTAACTAATGAAATTCTAAGTTTATTGCTTCATATGAGTTATGACTATGGTAATAATATTAGCAATTATTTGCCTACCCCAGGTGCCATTTCATAAAATATTTGGAAACTTGTTTGTACTATCAAACATTGCTCTCTGTTCTTCAAATAGTTTGCCTCAAATCTCTCAGACGAAAGTATTTGGTATGTCAGTCTGTTCATTTTTAAAGGAATTGTGGGTTGGGCCATAGTTCACGAGGGTACTCCTAGCTACTAATGATAAGGAGGCTGCAATCTCAGTATTAGTATTCAGAGCCAGCGTGGCAGGAAAGTCCAGTAGACTCTAATCTTAAATTGGTGTTTATCTCTAATTAACTACAAAAAAAACAAAAGTTGAGCATGGCTCAAGTAAAAAGCTCAGGGACAGTGCCCAGGCCCTGAAGTTCCAGGGAGAGAGTTCCAGGGAGAGAGAGAGAGAGAGAGACACACACACACACACACACAGAATTGTGGATTGGGAGTATAATCTATTTTTGTTAGAAAGAAAGGATGTATGGTTACCTTAGTGGTGAGGCAAAGGGAGCAAAGGATGACATTATAAATACTGTTTCATTGAATCTAAGATGAAGAATCTCAAAGCAGTTCCTGATTTCAGAGAAATTGGGAAATGCCTTTGCAGAATCTCAGAGTAGGTAAAATGTATGCAGTAGACAAAATCATGAAGTGTTTAAATTGTAATAGCAGTGTAGGCATTTTACACCTCCTCCTCTTCCTCAGTGCAACTATGCATGTACAATAGAGATATTTACTTTTTTTTCTTTTTTTTTGGTCGGTCATGAGTCTTGAACTCTGGGCCTGAGTGCTGTCCCTGAGCTCTTCAGCTCAAGGCAAACACTCTACTACTTGAGCCACAGTGCCACTTCCGGTTTTCTGGTGGTTAACTGGAGATGAGTCTCATGGACTTTTCTGCCTGGGCTGCCTTTGAACTGTGATCCTCAGATGTCAGCCTCCTGAGTAGCTAGGATTACAGGTGTGAGCCACTGGTGCCGGGCTAATAATTACTTTTTTTGTTTATAGGTATAGAACATGAGAGGTGTGGAAAGATACAAACAATCGTGTTAGAAACAGGAAACATTAGAAATTTTGCCCTTTTTCTTCCCAGATTCTTCTCTTCTTTTCCCCTCCCCTCATTAATATTAAGCAAAATTTGTTAAGAAAAACTGATAAGGAAGAAGAATCTAAATGTGAGCTGTAATCTTCAGAAGTTTGAGGGCTAAGGAAGTGAGAATTACTGGATAGAGAAGACCGAAACAAATGCCTGCCACTATACCTTAATGAAATTTATAAGTTTTTGAGCTAAATTTATAGCCACAACTTAACTTTTTTCTTAATTAACATGATCTTAAGGACATTTTATTTCCCACTGTTAAATTCAGTTATACAACAGAGAACATGAATCTAAATTTACTTTTCTTTACAGATCAGTGCTAACATCTTCCGTACTCTTCCTCCAAGTGATAACCCAGATTTTGACCCAGAAGAGGATGAACCCACGCTTGAGGCCTCATGGCCTCACATACAAGTATGAACTAAGCATGTTCACATTGCAGTATTTTGTTGATTGAGTTTTTATGTCTTTGCCTTTTAATGTGTTTTCTTAATGTTTTGTTTATTTACTTATTTATTTAATAATGTCTTAATTGTGATTTTTATTGTTTTATTATGACAAAATACATTTATTGGCTATTTAAACCATTTTAAAGTACATAATTCAGTGACATTAAGTACATTCACATTCATGTAACTATAACCCCTCTGTACAGCAACTTTACAATAAAAAATATAAAAAAAGAAAGTACATTCACAATGCTGTGCAGCCATCATCACTGTTTGGTTCTAGAACTTTTTATCACCCCATATGAAAACTCCTTTGTAACTAGCACTCACTTTAACACTCCTCATTGCTCCTTCTTCTAGGCCTGTGACAAGCACTAATTTACCTTCTGTCTCTGGAGATCTACTTTCCTATTCTGGATATTTTAGATAAATTACAATTTGTGATCTTTCATGTTCCTTTACTTGTATACAGACTTGATCCATGTTGTAGCTTGAGTCAGTAACTCCTTTTATTTTTATGAGTGAATACTATTACATTTTGTGGATACTCTACAGTTTTTATTCATTTATTTGTTATTCAGCATTGACTTATTTCTACCTTTTGGCTATGACCTAGGATTGTTATGAACATTCAAGTATAAGTTTTCCTTGAATATTCATTTCCCATAAATTTTGATACGCTGTCTTTGCTTCTCTAAAAATATTTTCTAATATCCATTATTTATTTAGGCATATGTTATCTAATTCTACCTATTTATGACTTTCATAAATTTTCTTAGATTACTGGTTCCTGATTTTATTTCATTTTTGGATAATAATATTTTGTGCGATTTTTTTTTTTAAATTTTGTGGCCTAATATACTCTCTTCTGGAGAATGTTGCCTTATGTGCTTGAAAAGAATGTGTTCTATCCTTGAGTGGGGCATTCTGTAACAATAGGCTAGGCATAGTTGGTTTATAGTGTTCAAGTGTTCTGTTACCTTGTTCATCTCAATCTGTCCTGCTCAAAGTGAGATATTGACGTCTCCAGCTATTATTGTTGAATTGTCTTTTTCTTTTTGCTTTTCTATATTTTTTTCTTATTTGCTTTTGAGACTGTCTTGCTAGTGGCCTTTGCCTTTGTGTGGGATATTGTCATATAAGTTATATCTTGGTACATTATATGCCCACCAACTGTCTTTCAATTGTTTTATGTGATTGCCTTGTAAAGGAGGAAATGAAAGAGTTACAAATAACTGTGCATGGGTATCCTACACTCACTGCTGAGGCTTGAACTCAGGGTCTCATACATACATGCTAGGCAGGCACTTTGCCACTGAGCCACATCCCCAGCAATAACAGTATTCATACCATCTTTTGTCTTCATCTATATAGTCAAATTCACATGGAATCTTCATTTCTGTCTATGGATTCGAGATACTCAATGGTATCATTTATTTCAGCTTAAAGGAATTCCTTTAGTTTTTCTTGTAGGGCAGAACTGCTAGTGATAAATTCTCTGTGTTTATCTAGGAATGTCTTAAATTTCTCCTTTTTTTATTTTTGGCCTTGAACTGAGGGCTTGGGTACTTTGCCTGAGCACTCAAGGCTAGCATTCTACCACTTAAGCCACAGCTCTACATCTAGCTTTTTGGTAGTTTATTGGAGGTAAGAGTCTCATGGGCTTTCTTGCCTGGGCTGACTTCAAACTGTGATCCTGAGATCTCAGCTTTCTAGGATAGCTAGGATTACAGGCACTGGTGCCCAGCTTTCTCTCTCTCTCTCTCTCTCTCTTTTAAATTTGGTTGTGGGGCTTGAACTCGGGGCCTGGGTGCTATCCCTGCGCTCTTCAGCTCAAGGCAAGCTCTCTACCACTTGAACCACAGCACCACTTCCAGTTTTCAGATGGTTTATTGGAGATAAGAGTCACAGGGACTTTCCTGCCTGGGCTGGCTTTGAACCATGATCCTCAGATCTCAGCCTTCTAAGTAGCTAGCATTGCAGGTGTGAGCCACCAGGGCCACCACGTGAACCCGGTTTCTCCTTCTTTTTTAAAGGAAAACATTTTGGAACTGTCATCCCACTTGTCTTCTTGCCTCCATGTTTCTGATGACCAGCAATTCACTGTCTTAAGGATTTCATAATGCATGTAGAGTCGTTTTTCTCCTCCTATTTGTTTTCTCTGTCATCAATTTGATTATGATACATCTAGTTGTGGATCCCTTTGACTTTACTTTGTTGAGTTTTGATTGGTTAATTGTGTAAGTTAATAGTTTTTATCAACTAAGTTGTTGAGGCCATTATTTAAATATTCTCTCTGTCCTATTTCTCTCTTTTCTGGGACTTCCATTTATGTGGCTACAACTGATATTCTCCTACAGGTCTCTGGATGATTTCTGTTCATTTCCATTGTTATTGTTTCTTTCTCCACCTCAAGCTGGATCATCTTGCATGACCTATCTCTACATCTACTTAATCTTTATTTTGCGAGATCAGAATTGGGCTCTTTTTTTTTTCCTCTTGTTGGTTGTGGGGCTTGAACTCAGGGCCAGTGCACTGTCTCTGAACTTTTTGCTCAAGGTGGTTAATTGGAGGTAAGAGTCTCACAGACTTTCCTGCCCAAGCTGACATTGAACCACTTTGAGCCACAGCTCTACTTCTGGTTTTCTGGTGGTTAATTGGAGATAAGAGTCTCATGGACTTTCCTGCCCAGGCTAGCTTTTGAACTGTGATCCTCAGATCTCAGCTACGGAGTAGCTGCGATTACAGATATGAGCCACCAGCAACTGGCTTCTTTTGTTTTTATAGGAGAGTAAGTTCACTGAAGTGCTTACTCTGCCACTCCATCTCTGGAACACATCATCTTGCTTGTTGGGTTTTAATTTTGCAAAAATTAAAATCAAGAGAGAAATCTGCATTCTATACAACTTAGGATACTTTAGGCAATAGTCTGCCACATTGTTTTTTAATTTATTCTGTCTAGCACCTACAGATCCATATAAAATGGAAGAGCAGTGTTGGATTAGTGAATGCTGAAAATAATTTTAAGACTTACCAGCACATTAGAGTTTACAGAATTAGAAAATCTGAAATAGCAAATTATTTTTTATATAACTGTACACAGGTTTAGCTGACATTTTGTGCTATAGTTCATAAAAAAATTAGAGATACTATATTTAACCATGTAAAGTTTTTAAAGAACGAAATTCTCATTAGCTGATGTGACTTTTTAATCATATGTCATTGAATACAGTGAAGGAGACTCCATAGTTTTACTATTTTCATGGAAATTCAGCCAAATAAACAATATGCTTTCCATTTTTCAGTGGTATAATTTGAAGTTGTATTTTAAATTCTCTGAAACAAGTGATTCTCCATGTTTTAGGAGGTGGCAGATTGTTTCCAAATGTGATTATTTAAACCAAGTGAAAAATTTATGAAACCCTGTGTGAAAACTAGCTAAAGCTAAAAGGGGAGATATGGGTAGCACAAGTGGCAAAGCACCTGCTTAGCAAGCTGAGGCCCTGAGTTCAAACCCTAGTACTGCCAAAAAAAATTTTTTTTTCATTTGTCCATGATCCCTTCATTAAAAGGCATCTGCCCTCTATATATATTCAGATCTTCCAATTTACTACAATTTGGCATGCAGTTTTTTAAAGTTGACAAATATTTAATGATACCAGAAACTATTAAACACTTAAGTAAGCAAGATGATTTATAGGTTTGCAAATACATTGTAGCTACATACTTAACCATTTTAAGTTTTTTGTAGTATAATATTAAAGATGTCCTAATTATTGAAATTTCAGAAATTAGCACACTGGAAAAGAAATTTATCCATAAAAGTTTCCTCCCCTGTTATAAATGTGCTTGGAGTTAATTCACCTGGATATTTTTGTTTTGCACTAGCAGCTTACATTTTATACTTTGCTTATCAGATCCTAATGCTAGGAATTTGAATTTAGTTGTTGGAGGAAGAGTAATCACAAGTAACCTTGTGATTACTTTTATTTTCTTGAGCCTTTTCATGAATTTTCTAAAACATGATAATTTGTAATTTATCCCTCTTTAACTTCTTTTCATGTTGTAATGGAAATAATCATGAGTACTGGACTAAAGAGAAAGAGGAGAAAGGAACAGAAGGGATATGTTTTCAAGCAGTGTACCATTGGATCATGCCTATAATCCCAGCTACTCAGAAAACTAAGATCTGAGTATCATGGTTCAATGTCAGCTTGGGCAGGAAAATCTGTGAGACTCTTACCTTTACCTAACCACCAGAAAACTGGAAGTGATACAGTGGCTCAAAGTGGTAGAGCACTAGCCTTAAGTAAAGGTCCTGAGTCAAACTCCATGACCTACCAAAAAAAGAAAGAAAGTAGGGGAGTAGGGGTGGGAGGGAAAAAGAGAAGGAGAGAAAGAGGGGAAGGAAGTGAAAGGAAGGGAGGAAGAGAGGAAGAGAGGGGAGGGAGAAAGGAAAGTAGGTAAGTAGTTTTCAGTAGCAAGGGACTGGTGATGTCTTTTAATTTCCATGTACTAGTACATATCTATTATTGTATAGCAGTTTAAAATTATTTTTTTCTTTCCTAAGTGCTTTTCTTTCTACATGCTGAAGACAATATAATAACAATTTTCTGAATACCAAGTTTTAGCTAATGGAAAGATACTAGCATGGAATAGATTCCAGACTGTGTAATAATTTTCTTTTATTAATTATTTTAGTGTCACAGACAATTCAATTTATATATAAGGAAACTCCATAGTGAAATCAATATGCATGGGCTGGGAAGGTGGCTCAGTGGTAGAGCGCTTGTCTTGCATGCATGCGGACCTGGGTTCGATTCCTCAGCACCATATAAGCAGAAAAAGCCAGAAAGGGGTACTGTGGCTCAAGTGGTAGAGTGCTAGCTTTGAGCTGAAGAGCTGAGGGACAGCGCCTAAGCCGAGTTCAAGCCCCACGACATACAAAAAAAAAAAATGAAATCA